TTATTCTAGGAATAAGTCTACTTAGATTTATTCCGTACTTAGACTTATTCCGTTAAATAACTTATGTTCTACATCAAATTTTAACGATCCATATGTTCAATTTAAAGTTCTTAATGCATAGATCAAATTTACAAATTTTTAGAAAATTTGAAAATGATTTGATAATTCGTTTCATTAATTCGAATCAATGTAAAAAATGATTTTATGATTATCTGTCAATTTGAATTAATAAAATGAAGTATCAAATAATTTTCAAATTTTCTAAAAATTTGCAGATTTGATCTATGCATTAAGAACTTTAAATTGAACGATTAGATCATTAAAATTTGATGTAGAACATGAGTTATTGAACGGAGTAAGTCTAGGTAGACTTACTCCTAGAGTAAAAAGAACCCTCCTCAAATAAAATAGTTAAAAGTTATATTAATTAGTCTTGAGAAAATATTATGAATCTAAATAAATTGTAAATATGTGTGTGGAAATTAAAATAAACGTAATTAGTAGGGTTGAATATGGCATGAAAATAATTAATTTAAAGTTAAAATTTGATAATTTAGCAAGTGTTAGAGTTGCAGATTTATCAAGTAAATGAGTAAATAGATAATTGATTGGATTGATTTATTTTTCGCTCACGAATTTTTTATTTTAAAAAAGAAACTTGTCAGGTTGACTCAAACTATTTTTTTACTGTGTTTCTTTTCCCTTCACATTGAGCTAGTCCCACAAATGGCCCAAATAATGTGCTCCAACTTCGAAACCAATCCAATGGTGTGAGAAAGCTACAGGAACACATTTGTCGAAGGTTTGAGAATGCTAGAACGCTTCCTTGTCCTATGGATGTCTTTCACCCTAATTTTTTTTTTAAAAATACCTTATACGCGAAGTAGTAAAAAACCAACAATTAATAGTATACCAAAATAGATATGCTATATTTTATAAAAATAGAATCTAACTTATTTATATGGTTTATAACATATTGATCTCAGACTATGCAGGAAAGTCATCACACCCTGAAGGCATGATTTTGCTTGATGTTCAGATCGGAAGCGTGAAGAGAACTACTATTTTTATAGTAACTCCATCGAAGGCAAATTTTAATGTCTTATTGGGGCGTGAATGGATTCATGGGGTAGGAGTTGTCCCTTCGACGGTGCACCAAAAGATTTTCTTTTGGAATGATGATGAAGGTTTGGAAATGCTCGATGCGGATCAGAAATAATATGAGGTAGGTATGTATTTCGCAGATCAGTAATTAACTGCATTTTCGAAAACAAGGCCTTTTTATGCCCATAGTGTTGGGGTTATGGATGAAGAAGAGGATGTTAAGAAAATATTTTGCTAGGATGTGAAGAGAGGTTTTGTGATTCGAGCTGAGAAAGACTCGGCTCCAGTGGAAGAATGAAGGGTCAAGATCCTTATTCGAGCTTTTTAGCCCGAATGTCGGCCTACATGGCCGATCGAACGGCCAACGTGGCTGAAGGATGTCGAGACGAGGAGGTAATGTCGAACAAATTTAAAGTTGATGAAAGTAGCACGGCCATTGTGGCCGAAGAAAAACAAAAACAAAGAAAGAGCGAATGGACCGCGAGGTCAAAAAGAAGGAACAAAAACAAAAAACAAAGAAAGAGCGAATGGACCGCGAGGTCTAAAAAAATGAAGAAAAAGAGGTCCAAAGAAAAATGAAAATCAAAAAACAGAAAAAGATAAATTGGACCAAAAGGTCGAGACTACAAAAGAAGATGGGGAGCAAGAGTTAGAGCTCAAGTTAGATTGTATTTTCGATGATTCACCATTGGGATTCGAAAGAATGACCAGTGAATAGCATAAGTTAGAATCTCAGGACCCACTCGAAGAGATCAATTTGGGAACTGTCGAAAATAAAAAGGTTACTTATATTAGCAAGCTCTTGCAAGGAGAACTGAAGGAGGAATTAATTCGAGTATTGCATGAATATAAAGACTGCTTTGCATGGGATTACAATGAGATGCCGGGATTGGATCGAGGATTGGTAGAGCATAGGCTACCCATGATTCCTGGAAAGAAACCTGTTAAGAAGAGTCCTCGAAGGTTCGCTCCTGAAGTAATCGAAAAGATAAAAGAAGAAATCGAAAGATTACTGAAAGCAAAGTTCATCAGAGCCTCAAGGTATGCTGAGTGGATATCGAATGTCGTGCTTGTTATAAAAAAGAATGGAAAACTCAAGGTATGCATTGATTTTCGAGATCTCAACACAGCAACCCCCAAGGATGAGTATCCTATGCCTATTGCTGAGACTATGATAGATGCCGTTGCAGGTAATGAAATTATGAGTTTACTTGATGGTTATTCTGGATATAACCAAATTTATATTGCAGCTAATGATGTATCGAAAACTGCTTTTCGTTGTCCAGGTGCTTTAGGCGTCTATGAATGGGTGATGATGCCATTTGGATTGAAAAACGCAGGTGCTACTTATCAGAGGGCAATGAATTTAATATTCCATGATTTAATTGGTAAGTTTGTACAAGTGTATAATGATGATATAATTGTTAGGTCAAAACGAAAGGAGGACCACTTATGCCATTTAAAATTATCTTTCGAGAGAATGAGGAAACATGGTCTAAAAATGAATCCACTAAAATGTGCTTTTGGTATATTGTTCTACTGTTAAGGAGATCTCCTAGGTGAATGCGTGACGAAACATTAGATGATTGATATGCATTGATATCTGTCATGAGTTTCTATTATTGCATGATTTCTGGTATGATGAAGTGTGTGGTGTTGACTTCATGTTTGATGAATTGATGATTGATTGAGATGGAAAGTCCCTTGGGGGCATGATTAGATGAATGTGTAGAATATATAGATTATGGGAAAAACATTTCCTTCTGGATGTATCAGTGGAACAAACATGGCTCATGCTCTCAGTTGCAGCAAAATGACATGTATACTCCAAGCTGGCATTATTTTCAATTATAAAAAGACTCACCTTGAAATTTATTTCATGTTAAGTTTTTATTTTTATTTCTCTCGTTCTAAACTTTATTTCATTTCTCTTTTTTATAGTTCTAGGTTATCATGAAGTTCATCAGTCTTTTGCTCTTTTTTGTCTTTCCCACTCTCATTGGTGCAAGTTTTGAATTTTGGAAGTTGGCAGAAACTTGGCCACCAACCTTCTGCGGGAACACGAAGAACCCGTGTGCTTTTCAGATTTCATCCAAGTTTACAATACATGGCCTATGGCCCACTAACAACTCCGACCCACAACCACAATTTTGCCATTCGACTAAATTTGATGCAAATAAGGTAAATTTTATTTTTTTAATCAATATTTTTATATAATATTAAAAAATTAATGCATGTTATTTATGTCACTAGATTAGGCAAAATTTGAAGACTCAACTTGAAACAAATTGGCCAGCATTAAAGGATGGGAAAAACATTTCCTTCTGGACTTATTAATGGAAAAAACATGGCTCATGCTCTCAGTTGCAGCAAAATGATTTCCTGAAAATGGCTTTAAGAATCTTTTTTCAACATGATCTTAAAGCTACTCTACAAAAAAACAACATGGTGCCGACTCGTAAATATGCCACAGTGGACATTTCCAAAGCCATATACAATGATACAGGAGCTATGCCAGAAGTTACATGTACTACTACTAGTCACTTAGCTGAGATAAGATTGTGCTTGGACACAAGCAAACCACCCAAATTCATCAATTGCACTACTCATTCGGTGGGATGTAAAAGAATTGTACATTATACTTAATAAAATAATTTATATTAATAAATAAATAAAGATTGAATAATTTTGTTAGTCTTAAGATTTCTCCATACTCATTAGATGGATAGGTCTGAAAAAAGTCGGTGACTTTAAAATAAAAAATAACAGGTTTGGGGAAATGCACATCCTATACCATATAATTAACTCATTGTAAAATACATCTCTAAATAAATAAACAAGTTGAATTTTTAGCACAAGATTAATAAGCGGACATGAGGCATGTTGAACACCCTCTCCATTTGGGTAAATATCAATGAGAAACGAGGCTAGATGAAATTTGTATTAACAATTAAATGGAATACTCTTTCAAAATAATGTTTGAATTATAATATATATATAAATATATTATAAAAATGATTGTATTTATTAAATGAAGAATTAGATAAATAGAAGAGTAAAAATGAAATCTCAATCAATTATATATCATCCTATATTTAAATCAATTATTACAATAACATTGTTTTAAATAATAACATTACATAAAATTATTTCATGATAATAATTTAAAATTATAATAAATATTTTTTAATAGAGACAATATTATATATTAAAAATTTAACATTAGTCAATAATTGTTTCAAATCTCATATATGTTAGTTATCATAAAGGTCAATAAATATATTGAACTTATTATTATATACATTAATTTATAAATTTTCTATAATACTCTTTTTTATTATAAGTTTTTTTTTTAAATTATAAAAAAAATAAAGTTAAACATATTAAACAAATAAACACATGATTATTTTTATTATATTTATTTATTAATCATTATCATATAAATTGTGTTTTAAATCAAATACCTCATGCGTCACATGAGTAACCATACAGTTTTATTAGAATGATAAAAAAGGCTTTATTAATTTTTCTTTATGTTATTTGTGTAATTATCCATCTTGATCGGCACAATATTTAATGAGATCATTATTACTAGTAGCAAAAATAGCCTACTAGAATATGCAATACTGACTTCTCTAATGTTGCGTGCATATGCCTTAAATTACTCCCATTTGTGCAAGTATGTTTGCTCTAACGAAATTCATGAACTCTAGGACATGGGAGGTTCAATAGAAGGGAGAGATCAAGTTACTGCAACCAGGGGGTTTTGGGTCCTAGAACCGAGTATGTGCTTGCTCTTAAGGACTTTCGTGATACCCATGAATTTCTTCTGCTTGATGAAGGTCAGGTTTATGCCATAAAAAATCTTATTTTAAGTAGTCACACATTACCATATATTTTATTTAAAATTGAACTTGACAGACCTCTCAATATGAAAATTGCTTATGTTATTCCTTTGTTTTTCATTAGTGTAAAAGTTTGTTTTTTTGTTTTTCAAAAATAAAGATTCTACAAGTGATTTTGTCTCTAAATTGGAAGAGGATATCTTGACCATTAAATTTTAGTGGGTTATGTTATACATGATACACATAATTTTTCACAAACTCCCTTTAAAGGAATCTTATCCAAATTTATCACATGACTAAAATGTTTAATATATATTCATATTTCAGGAAAATGGCAGCATGTCAGAGAAACCATAGAAAATTGCAGAAGGAAAACTACTCTCCCCAGAAAAATTTGAGAACCACATCTGACAACTCCGATTTAGCTAAGGTTTACCTATTTGACTGAATACTTGCATCTTTTTCTGTCATTCAATAGTTGATGGATTACTATGTCAATGAAAAGTACACACTGAGATACACAGGAGGAATGGTGCCAGATGTCAACCAAATTCTATAATACATAACAGAATAAATCTTTCAAGATGATTCTAATTACAATTGAATTAAAAGTCAATCCGATTGGTAAAATTTAAAGAAAGTAAATCTTCATAATAAAATTGAAAAAACAATATTTATATGATCAAATGGTTTATTAATTTGTCATATACTTGTAACAATGCATAATTGAAAAATCACATTGTATATATACAAGTTAAGATACTAATAACTTGAAGGACTACTTACCTTAAAAGCATTGTTGATAAGTTCGTGAAAGAAGGTTTCTTTGTTTAAATGGAAAGTGTTGTTCATAGGGCTCAGTCTCTCAGCCATGAATTCGAATGTCTCACTTTCACCATCACCATATTAAATTTACTATAATATATTGAAATTATATATATTTTTATTTATCTTTTTTAAATATTAAACTTTTTAATTTATATAATAAAGTGAAATTTATAAGTTTGTTGAAAGATAAATTCATATTCTATTTACATACTTTATTATAATTTTTTAAAAAGAAAATAAATTATTACTAATATTAAATTTTAAAATATATTATATCATATAAATAAGTTAGATTCCATTTTTATAAAACATAGCATATCTATTTTGGTATACTATCAATTGTTGGTTTTTTACTACTTTGCGTATAAGGTATTTTTCAAAAAATAAATTATGCGTATATATTTAAATATATATTTATCTGTGATTGAGCGTACACATTTTGTTGTAAAAATAATTGGATTGATTCGATAGGATCAAACCATTTAAACTGTTCTAGTGTATTAAGAGATCTTTGTAGGTGAATGCATAACGATGCATTAATTGAGGTGTATGCACGTGATATGTTGTTGATTTGTGTGTTCATATGCATTAGATGAGTATATTCTTGTTTGATATGTCTTGGTGTAGCTTTCAAACATATTGGTGTTGTGTTGTTTGGTGAATGTTGTAAACCATGAGGTGTTTTGGTTGGTTTACATGTTGGTGAGTAGTATATATGTTCTTTCTTATACTAGTATGTTTTTGAAATTTAGCTTACCCTTACATGTTTTCATGTGGTTTAGATTGCAATGACCATGATTTTTCAAGGGTACAAGGTAGGGTTAGTTGGAGCAGGCTTCATGGAGATATTATTGGGCCATTTTGGTGGTACATTCTTGTCTTAGACTATTTTTTATGTTTTGCATAGTAGTGTTTGACCAATACTTAGAATCCTATATTACTTTATATTGGACAATTGTATATATATTGTATATATTTAGAAAGTTTTTTTAGTTGCACTTATACTCATATACATGTCATAATATGCATATCCATGTACAATGAGTATAAAATCTTTAACATGTGAGTAATTCTACTACTAGTTGGTGATTTCACGAAGTGTAACGATCATAGCGGGTCATTACAAGTAAAGCATATTTGGTACTTGATAACTCTCAATTTGGTTGTTCTTAAACATTGCATCAAATAGTTCACCCATCATCTAAAAAAAAAAAGTGGTAAATGTGTTTGGTTTAAGGTCTGTTTAGATACAAGATAAAAATATTTTTAAGAATATTTTTCAAAAGAAAAATCTTCAAAAGTGCTTATTATCGTGTATTCAAACATATTCAAAATTAACATAAGTGAAATAAAATTACAATTTGAATTATTCCTATAAAAAAAAAACAACCGTTTGAATTTGTATTATTTGAGCAAACTAGAAAGTGCATTACAAAAATAAAAGTAAATTAAAAGGTGTAAAACGCACTATTAATAAACACTAAACCTCTCGAAGTTAACTAGGTACAAGAATAAAACCACAAATTAAGTGAAAATTTAAAATGTGTGAGATTTATATTATTTTTTAATCTTTTATTTTGTTTTAATTTAATTGTAAAAACGAGTTATTTGTTAATTGCTAATTAAATAGAATGAATGATAAGGATGAAGAATAATTTATTTTAAAGTTATTCTTAGAAAAATTTAATTTAATTTATATATGTATATAAGAATGCATGTATGTATGTTTTAAAAATTGGATCGATCATTAAATTGATTAGGATGTTAACTTGATAGATCAGAAGTTGAATCAATAAATCACTAATTAAATTACATAATCTGCTCTCTTTTAAATAATTTTAATATATATTTCCGATCTTTACGTTTAGGTGCTTAATCTTTGGAGAGGGTCATAGAAGTAAAGTTAATATTGTAGTAGATGCCTTGATTAGGATGACCATTCATCTATCGTTTTTATGATTTAAAGGTTGGATTTGATTGAAGAGTTTAGAGACTTAAGCTTGGTGTGTGAGATTACCCTTTGGATTGAAGGCAATATGAAGGACTATCTAGTTATCATAATATAACTTCATCTACTTAACTTCATAAAATCTCAACTCTTGAAGGAGCTGTTTAATCCACAAATGTTTATAAGTATCCAAAGTTAAGCGATGAACAAGCACCTTTCAGTTTTCAGCTCGGGATGCTGCTTTGTCCTAACTTTTGCCTAGGTTACTTGAGATGTGTTACCTAGCGGATATTTTCCTTTTTTTTTATCCTCACTTTTGCTTAGGCTACCCTTTTTATTTGTGGGTCTCCTAGCGGACCTTGCCCTAATTTTTGCGCTGCCCCTCTCGGTGGATTTCTTGCCAGGATTTTTTTTGTCTTTGCAGCATTTGTGATCATCTTTCATTCCTTCAATAAAGGGGGGGTGCCCCTTGCACTGATTTCGCTTGGACTTTTATCCACAAGTCATGCCAAATTTGATTGATCTTTATGTGTTCCTTATTGCGTATTAAGCCATTATTTCTAATGACATCCTTATTTCAAATGTACTTGTTCATTTAAGGTTTGTTAATGAGGCTTAGAGTAGATAAGATGGAGAAGAGAAATGAAGTAGAAAAATGTATGGCATTAAAATAGAATTTTCAATCTACACATGCCCATTTAATGTAGCTCGAGGTGATTCATACACAGAGAAGTAGAAGGAGGTTGCCCCTTAGAAAGGCCTAGGTCATCTGATTGTAGAGCTAGTCCTCCACTTGCTTGGATGTGGCACTTTAGAAGATCTTGTGTAGAGGGAGGTCCTTTGGCTTCTTCTTTCATGAAGGTGGTGTCAACCCATATCCTAATACTTTCCTAAGAAGTAGAAATAGGTAGAAGCAATGATAGAGCTTTCCATGGAGTCTTGCTTCTCAAGAGGAACATTCAAGTTATCTCTCGATTTTCAGCTCGAACAAACATTGCTCTTTTTTTTCTTTTTTTTTGCCTAGAATGCTCTTTGCGGGTTTTCATTCTAGCAGCTTTTTAACAAGCAATGCTTCTTTCTTGTTGAAATAATATTTCATGAAAGCTCTATTCACTTTGCCTTAGTGTTTGAGGGATTCGTCCTCCTCGTGTTCTCTTTATTAGCTTGCAACTCGTTAGGAGTGTGGATCCATCCATTCCTAGTCGTTTCTCCTGTTCCACTTGGATTTCACAGTTGCACGACACAACTTTATCTTCTTTAGGCAGGAGTTGGTGTCTTGAAAACTCTTTATGCATGGCTTACTTTCCATTATTTTTTACTAACGCACATAGGCTAATTTCCCTTTTTATTCTCATTTATTCTTTTACAAGGAGGGACGGATATGTTCTAAATGAATGTAATGCAGAATGTAGAGAAAGTTGAGAATAATAAATATCATTCTCATTGATTTGTTTATCTGTGAATGTTGAAATAGATTTTGACAGTATTAAGCGAGAATTAGATTCTGAGAAGACTTACTTTAACAAACATATCAAAGCAAGTATACCGAGAGAGTAATTAAATTGTAGATTAGTTAAACCACATAAATTAATATATTATTAAATTTACCATTTTATTTTAAAAATATATTATATAAATTATTTAAGTAAATTTTTAACAACAGCATGTAAGTTAGTGGTTGTACCTATCTAAGGGCACACTCGTAATCTTCTAGGATGAGAAGGGTCGAACGTGGATCTTCTGGGGGACTCTTCAGCAAAAAAGGGGGGAGGTACCTACAAAAGGCACTCCGACGCTCAAGTTAGAATAAGCACAGTTTTCTAGGATAATTAATGAACAGTGACGTACCTCAATATAAATGACCTATTTATACTACTATGAGTGGGTCTTATCAGTAATGGGCCTCTTATAAGCTTACCAAATTAGGTAATACGGCGCTAATCGGCTAATTATGCCTTAATCATGTGCTCATCGCTGTTAACCATGATCAGCATTATAATCCTTGCTTTGCCCTTCGGCATATCACCGAGCCGACAGGGCAAGGCTTGTGTTGATCGTCTCGGCCCTTGGCGGGGCCGATACGTATGTGCCGTACTATCCTACTCGGTCGGCATTCGCCCGAGCCGATATAAGATATACGGAGATGTGTCGTGGTTCCATTCGTCTCGGCCTAGAACCGAGCCGTCCTTGCTATCGGACTACTCTAGCCTTTCGGCTATAGACTGAGCCGGTGGTAGCGTCATGATTAGGTAGCTTAGTTCGCGTGGGTGTCTGACGGTACGGCACGTGTTGGTCCACGTGACCGATAGGGTCCTCCTGGTACACAAGCCCCCCAGCCTTTAGGAGTGAAGCGACAAAAAGGGTAAATGTAATATTGCGGTTGTTATCTTCGAGGGAAGGCCAATGGTTACAATTGTTGGCGGGAAACGAAGGGTTATAACTGTTGTCGGAATACCAAGGGTTATAACTGTTAGGTATTAATGACGCATGCGAGGAGTTGCACATCGTGGACCGTTGGATCACTTAGATCCAACACTGCGTAGAAGGGTGTCTCTTCAGATACTTACGAGGAACGCCTATAAATAGGTGTGTGGGGGGGTCCCCAAAGATACACATTTATCACTTACTCCAAGCCGAGATCATCTAAGAGCATTGGAATATTCAACAGCGATAGGTCAAGTTCAACACTCAGGTACGTAATGGCTAATCTAAACGTTGTTCATGTTGACTCCTCCGGGGACGAAGGGGAATCTAGGTTGAGAGCGACGCCGGACCGAGATGTCGCATCGGCCTCGGCTTCAAATGGGGGAGATCACGCAGAGTCCGTTTATGGGTCCGAACGGTCGCGAAGTGGAAGTGATTCTTCGTCGGCTGTAGCCTCTGATGATCATCTGAGCAGGGGTGGCGGATCGTCAAGGAATTTTGCTCCCATATCGATCCCTGGATATTCGTGGGTGCACGGTGAGGTTGGTAGCGTGTATTCCCGATATACTGATAAGAAGTCTCTTGTTAACTTCGTATCGGCCACGAGATTCTTAAACTTTCCCGAGGATGAAGAGCCCTCTGCCATCTTTTTCCAGCCGTGCCGAGGTGATGGGGTGCCGAATCTGGATTTTGTATATTTGA